CTTTTTTTGAAACGGAATGGTTTTAACCATATATCATGTACTTTGCTTTTTTATAGTATGGGTACAAAAAAGAAGACAACAAGGAAAAAGACTTCTTTTGCCATTTTTGTGGATCATTTTACGATAAACGAGGAATTCTAAACATATAAAGTTTGCACAGGCATATAATAAACAAAGGAGCAAAGAATGAACAAAATGCTTGAGGATATTTTTTTACAAAAGTCGAATTTTCAGAGCATGAGAATCGTGACTGTGATTCCAAAAGAATGGGGAGAATTTGACAACAAAGCAAGGTGAAGTATACATAAGTGGAGTCATTTTATATTTGGTATTTCTTGTGTATATTTTACAATATTTTCCCATTTATTTCTTTTTTATATTTAGTATGCTTCTGTATATTTAAATATTCCGTACCTTTATAGAGAAGACCTCGACGATAAGGGAGGAATTTTGAGCATGTAAGAAAGGAATAAAGTTTGTAAAGAGACTTGATTGAAGATAGGAAAAAATATATATGAGTTTTGGTCCTCCATCTGGGGAATCTCAACACCTGTGTTGTTTTGCCATCTTTCAAGTGGTTTGATATTGTACTCGAAGGATGTTATAGTCAACTTCCTACTGGAAACTAACACTTGGTGTTGATGGGTAGTTACTAAAATCATATGCATGATATTATTGTACTTGGATATTTTTGCTTTTCCATAGGGAATCATGTATAATTTGATAAACCCCTCGTCTTCTACTACTATTGCTTATTTTTCAATTTTCATTGTATTTAGATATTCTTTCGATGGTATTTCTCTTCCATTAAAATGTAAATGAATTCTTATGATGTTTCCATTGTGCACCAAAATTCTCCGTTGTGCAATGTCACATTTCCTTACTAGTTCATACAACCATATCAGGGTTTGTAACATTCTACACAACAACATTTTTCAAGAATGAGTACAATATTTTATGTACCTTATGAAAGACATCAAGACCAAGGAGGTGGCGCTCAAGTGGAACATTGAGGATGGTCTAAACAAGCTCAATTTACCTTGCAAACCCAATTCGCTCGCCACCTCAAAATGTCAATCGGCCTTTCTTGTCCCCGAGGTATATGAGATGATCCTGGGTGAGGCATCTCACGTAGGGAAGGAATCATATCACATTTCCTATGTCACACAAGATTATTATATTACTTTATATTACTTATACCTCGTTGTGTGAGATGTCACTACAAGAAATAGGAGTTTTGCCGACCAAGAGATTGGTTGCCGAAGCCCAATATTAGTCGGTAAATCAAATTACTGTCCGAAAAGTTTTGGTCCGATGCTGATCCCCAAAGGGTAGCCAGGGAAGGTTTTTAATGACCAAAATATAATTTAGTCGGAAAAGAGAGAGATTTTTACCGATCAAAAAATTGTTGGTCAGTAATTATAAACCTTTTTCTTGACCATGATTTTGGTTGGTAAATGCCTAAAGTTGTCGGTAATAAACAAGTCATGAGTAATGGTAGTAAAAAAAGGCCGACCATTGCAGTTGGTCGGGAATAATATACATTTGCCAACCAAAAAATCAAGTGACATTTATCGACCAAGAGATCAAGTGAAATTGGTCAGAAAATTCAACACAATAAAGTTAACTGCTTTTCTCGACTATGGTTTCACTCGATAATTGTGATTTATTTTATTTTTTACAACCTTGTTTGACAATCAAAATTATAAAAAAGGTTGAAAGGCCAACTCGAACACAATGTACCAATAAAAGTTCAAATTCAAGAAATATTAGAAATTGCAAAACAATAATCACAATAAAAATCCTATAGCAAAACAATTACAAGGCAAAATACTATATCATATCTTTACCAATCAATTCCAATTTCAGAATAAGTAACTACGTAAACATGTACAGCCAAAACTATAATGGATTTCAAAATAAAAAGTCTAGTCAAATTCCAAAATAAAGGAAGACTAGCTTAATCCAAAATAATAGCATACTTAATAATGGAGTATTAACCATCAAAACATAAAACCATGTAAATGGAATAAAATAGCTTTAAATTAATGATCATAATATGACTCGTGATCGAGTGACTATGGCGAATGAGGAGTAGTAGGAACTCTAGGGCTGCCTATTCTAGCAGCGGCACCTAGCATAATCTCTTCTAATAAGGCGAGGACATGCTCTGCAAATTATGCACAACTTGCAAAGCTTGGCATTCTCTCGTTGAGTCGTGTCTGCATGAGATGTAGCACGTGGAATCTTTGGATCTCTGCCCAAACCCCTATAGTAGTAAGAAGTAGTTACAAGGACCTGAGTCGCAATATCATTAGCAGTGAGTTGTACTCTTTGGCTCTCACTCTCCTCTCCCACAACATGTGCCTGTTGTGTTGTTTTTAAGTCTACCATCTCTTTCTACATGACAATGGAAAAGTAATAACACAAATAAGGTAGTAAAATATTTATTCCATTAAGTAATAATAAACTTAAAGACTTGTGGTATTTGTTTATTACATATTTCTCCTCAGCCATAGGATGGATCCAGCATTTTGTATCTTTGTAATGTGTATTCTTCCATAGTTTAATTCTGTCGGGTCGTCTAGTTCCCTTATCCTATTAGAATAAATAAGAATAAAATTCTATTGAAATTGTTTCCTAATAGAGATGAATATATTCCTTCTTACTTACCTCCATAACCTGACATTGAATAAATGATCTAGAATCAGAAAAATGGGTAAATTCTTGTTGGGATCTATTGTCAACTACTACCTTGGATCTTTTCTGTAATGTCCAATTAACAGAACAAAAATAGTCAATGAACTAAATAAGTTAACCAATGAACA